AAAAAAAAAAAACTACTGAGAGTTGTTTTTTGAATTCGAAAGAGAGTAATTAGATTCTCCTAATGACTAAAAAAGTGTAGCATGTTTGGATCTAATCAGGGGTTCGCTGTTGTAAAGGAACTGGATTGGAAAAAATAGAGATTCTAATTGTAAGATAATGAAACCGTCGCTAGAATTGAGATCTAATTCTAAAAGAAAAATATCAAATATCTGAAATTTTTTGTACAAGGGCATATTTAAGAGCTGGCCTGGCTTCATTTTTCCTTTATATAAAAAAATTATGCATATTAACTTAGCTTAAAATATTTTTTTAGCTTCCTGATCTTTTAAAGTGTGTAATTAAAATTGAAATTTAATCAGTTAAAGTTGATAAAATTTTAACAAAATTAAATTAAACAAGCACTAAATTTCACTATGCATTTTATAGAAGGTGATTCTAAATTTTGACATTTCACCTACCGCATTAATGAAGGTGATTCTAAATTTGTACATAACATTATCTATAAATAAATTATCAAACTAGAAATTGTATGATAAATGCTCAACGCTCAATCTCTATCTTCTGTACTCCACACTGAAAAAATATTAAATACTCTCAATTCACGTATCTTGCAACCAACTATTTATGGGAAACTTGCAAGAATTACAAGACGCGTAAATTTGGTAATTTGGACATCAACGCAACTTTCTTGGCAGCATGGTCCCAAACTTATCTATTTTGGTTCTGTGGCGGTCCTTATAGGATGTTTTCTATCGTTTTGGCCCTTAAACAAGTGTGTGCATCACACTTGTTATAATTTTGAGGAGTACTAATTTGGTCACGAAACTATTTTTCAAAGAAACAAAGAATAAAGAAAAGCAAAAAAAGAAAAAAAAAAAAACACTGGGTTTCGGCAACTCGGTCACACCCTTCCAACAACCCCATTTCATGTTACCAGTTCTATAAACATAGTTGTTTTCTGCGGTTGGCCATTGCCGTTATTTGTGGTGGGAAGAGTTGATTTGGACCCATTGGCTCGATTGGTATTATAATATTCGTGGAATATAAAAAATATTATTATGTGGAAATATTAGTTGAAGTAGATAGTTCTCAATGTGTTAATCCATGATTGTCAATGCTGATCAGATGGTGGTACGCAGACAGTGGTGGTGGGGAGGATTAAAAACCTTTTTTTTTTTTCTTCTATATTTCAATAAAAAATGATTACTCAACAGCCAAGTGGGTGGAAACTACTTCATCGAAACTAATAAGTTGAGTACCACCCTACTTATAAAAAAAGGTATTGCAACAAATTAAGTCAATAGCTAGGGGACCAACACTGCAATTTCTCCCTTATTTGTTGGTATTGAAATATGAGCAGTCCTTGACAATCCATTTGCTGAAAATCTACAAGAAACACTTAAAATAAAAATAAAAGAAATAAAAGAAAAAGAAATTA